TAAGAAGTGATGTCTTAATACTTGAAAATGGCTTTTCATTCATAGAAACTGCCATTTGATTTGTGATGAAGATGAGCTCTATAACTTCTTCTTTTTGTAAAATTATTTCACTTCTTACTGCACAAATTAATGAATTTTCTGCTCATAATTAGACATGCGGTACATGTTTTAGCATGAGTACTATAATCTTCAAATTTAGATTTTTTTTTTATTTATATATATATATACAAGCGATATTGGGGGAGGGGAAAATCAAATTTAAGACCGATTCTGGGTAAATGCCCTTAACTAATTGAGCTACAAATGTAAGGACCCGGTCCTAAATAAATAGGTGAATATTAATTTATTCAGATAAAAGGACCATTTTGCCCTTATAATATTTTATTAGATTTAAGGTTGACTTTTGACCGGGAAGGAAATTGGGAATTTCGATTGCACCGTTGCGTAGAGCACAGCGAGATGAGTCCGTAGACACGTAGTGGGCTCGAATCGGAGTTGTAACGAGAGAGATACGATCAAAATACCCTCAGTGGCATAATTGTAAATATTTCAAAATGGGTTTTTAATAAAATCTGAAAACCCTCTCTCTCTCTCCCGCCGGGTCGTGAGCAGCCCGCCCCCTCCCATTTTTTTCTACACAGCCGGTGGCTCCAAGGAGCCACCACTGCGGTTACAGGCCACGGCTGGCCTCGAGATCAGACCCAAAAGAACCGGGCTGCCTCCTTCTTCCCATCCCGACCAATTTCAGCCGCTGGAACCGCCGGTACTGGCCGAAAATTGAAGAAATCCGAGCTGTTTTCGGACAGATTTTGACAGATTTTCCAAGTCTTCGTTCTCTCTCATTTCTCCACTAAAATGGACGAATGAGGTATGGATTCTCGACTGTTTTTCATGATCTAGCTGCCTGTTGGGTAGGATTCCAGAAATTTTGAGAGTTTGTAGTTTGATTTTGGAATTAGGTTTCGGCCGTTTTTCAAATTGAATTTCCGGCCACGTCCGTCGATAATTTGGGGTATGTCCAAGAACAAAAGTGACTCCAAATTAGGTGTATTACCTAGGGTAGGAGTCTTGGCACGAGATTCTAAGATTTTCCGGCGATGCGATATCGCTTTGGACACCCACGTCTTGCCGGTGCGTGTGGCGGCGCATGGGCACTGTAGCTGAGGCGCATTTTTGTCCCAATGCGATCCTCTCGATGTCACGAGCGCGTAGGTGTGCTCGGATTTCAATTTGGATACCGTTAGGGTTCCGAACGGATATTGCATATTGTGTATTTTCCGGGTTCGCTAGGTTTGGACCGTTGGATGGTCCTGAGGTTATAATATGTTGATCTAGGCATTACTAGGATCGTATAGGATTCGACGGATCGTAAAACAGAGTCCCGGATACTCCGGATAAGCCAACCCTAGGGTTAGGGTTTTAGTAACCGTCCGATCGTGAGCGATCTGACCGTCCGATCCGGATCAAACTTGCAGGACGTGTGTCCTAGACCTTGTAGGACCTATGGGAACTGTCGGATCGGAATTTGAAGGTCGTGGACCAGGGGGCCCGTTTGACCGAGGCTGGGTAGTTTGACCCTGGGTTGACCGTGAGACTTCCTAGGTAGTGTTACCTTCCTAGGAAGATTATAATGACCCTAGTGACAGGCCTTGAGAGTTGTTGAGTGATATTGATTATGTGGGATTAGGATATCAATTTATGGTGATAAATTGGGGGTTTCTCGGATGTTATATCTTGGGGTTGAGGTTGATGCAATAATGGATTATATTTAAATATATATTATTATTGTTATAAAGATGCTTTTACCTCCCTAGTTATGGGTTTTATGTTTGAGATTTATTTTTGCCCAGGCCCGTCGGAGTTTGTCCAGGCCCTTCAGATGTTTTCTTGATACGATGCCTTGAGAAGGAAGTGATAATGTTTCAATGTGTTATTATCGGATTTAGAATTGTGATAGATTCGAAAGGTATAGAGGTTTGGAACAATTGAATTAAGGAAGAAAATATCATTTTATAATGTTGTGATAAGGGTTACGAACTCCACCATCATACGTACCTTCCCTGGTTACTATTCACACACGTGCCGTGTTTCGGGCGTGTGGGCTTTCTTGGTTACGGATCCTGTAATTGTGGGATGCCGGGAATATTATGATATGGTTTGGATATGTTGAAATACGGGGCATCCTTGACGAGATGTTGTCGTGGACCCTGAGGGGTGGTAGTCTGCGCGTGTAGGATTGGTTTTCAGACGTACAAGCTTTGATTTTATCGGCTGTACGTGCTGGCTGAGAGTTAGTCCCCCAGTTGGACGGCTCGTTCCCTAGTCACATGGACGTTTGAGGGCCGGATAATTGTGAGCTAGTCAACAATCCCCTGTTGGATTGTTTCCCCCAGTACATGATGTGCAGCATCACATGTACCTCCCTTTGGATACTGATACATGGAAATGGATATGGATCTGTGAATGTGTTGATACCCGGGCATACCTTAACGGGGTGTTACCATAGACCCTTGACTGGGTAGTCTGCGCGCGTAGGACTGTTTACAGATACGAGTCTTGAGATTCTTCGGCCGTACGTGCTGGGCTGAGAGTTAGTCCCCCAGTTGGACGGCTCGTTCCCTAGACGCATGGTGAATTGAGGGATTGCTCTGCCATGTGGACTAGTCAAACGATCCCCTGTTGGATTGTTTCCTCTGGTACATGATGATGGTGAGAGGGTGTTATCATATATATACATATATGTGTATATGTGGTTTTTGATTCGGGATTGAGATTCGTGAGATTGTCCTTTGAGAGGACCTTGTACATGTATAAATGTTTACGCCCCGGTTTGGGAGGTGTTGTTCGGCAACATACGCCTTGGATAGGGTATGGTTGCAGGTTGATTTGATGTAAAGGAAGCGTTTGAGAATGTGTTCATTGTAAATTGATTGGTGATAAATTTGAAATGTATTTGTTGGTTCTGCTTTAATTAATTGTATATTATCGGAGATGTGACCGTTGATATGGAAGAACTACGTGTGGCTTGATCCCTGGTTGAGGGTACGTAGGCAGCCTAGGTTGATGCCTAGGTGCAGCTGCGAGTTAAACCTCACTTAGGTTGTGTTAGTGAGGTTGGTTCGGACCTTGTCTTTGGTCCTGAAATTCGGATGAAACCGAGATGTGATTAGATAATGGTTCATGCTCCCATTTGACTACGGGAGGGTGGTATTAGAGTGTTGTGGTTGAATTAGGGGCAAGACCCGTTTGGGGTGTTGTATGTTTAGGCTGAGGCCCCGAGCTATTTGTGATAGTGATAGGAGGTTAAAACCTTGCGTGTTGAATGCTTGGGGGAAGTTATTTTTTTTATTGATCACGTGGTTGGTAGTTTGCTTTGAATTATTAGAGGGCCGGAGGCCATTATTATGAATTGCATGTTATTACATTGTGCGTGTTGCCAGTTGTGGTTATTAAATGCGTTTTATGCAGGTGGAAATTTTGGGAAATGTTCAAATTACAGGGGAGATTCTGCCGAATTTTCGACAGAAAGTCTCGTGCCCTTACTCGTCTTGAAGAAGGAGGTTACCTTTTTAAGGAGTGAAACCAGCATGGGTGTGATGCTAGGGTCTCCGCGGGATTCGTCTCGGGTTTTGTGAAAAATTCGGGGCGGGTCCTGTCAACAAATCTCTTGCCTACAAATTTAGATTTAATCCCTGTAAAGATGGTTTTGAATTCAATCTTGCTCTTAAAAGTCACTTGAAGTATATACAAACCAAAAGTAGGAATCATCATTTGCCCCACAGCCTGCAAGCGAGTAGCATGAGGCCTAATGGGCCAAAGCCCGACCAGATTCAGCTTGCTCTAAGAATAGGTAGGGCTTGGGCCAATGGTTTGAAATCTTGGCCAGACCTGTTTGAGGCCATCTAGGCTTGGCCTAGCCATTATAAAATAAAATATATACATAGAACAATTAAGTTGGCCAAAGAGTGTAGAAGAATGAATAACTAATATTGTAAGTATCATGAATTCATCAAATAAGAGGCATGAATTATGGGTAAATTGTTGCAATGAGCTAAATATGGAAAAGACAAAATGTAGACAATGATTTTGCACATAGGTAGACTTCCACCTACCAACTATTAAAAGTTGCAATTGATTATAAATTGGTTTTGCATATCACTTTTTATTTTATTACACATGTTATGAATTAAATTAATTTCTTACTTGTTGTCTAAAAATTTGCAACAAAAATATTAAATAGACTTAGAAAAAAAAAAAAAGAATTTTCCCACCAAGCCCGTCTAGGCCCCGACCCAATAGACAGGTCCAGACCAAGGTCCTTGAAACCTCAGCCTCACCCAATTGGAAAATAGAAAAAGCCCATAAGCCCGACTAGAACCCAAAAGTTTTGGGCCGGGCTCGATTCAAGTGTGGCTGATAAAAGCACACACAAAAGGGACACATGATCTCTTAAAAAACCACACAA